CCGCGAGAGGCTGCTGGGTGGGGGTCAGGGGGTGTCTCTGCTGCCGGGACAGGGCACCGAATCATCTGTGTGCAGCCTCTTCTTCCTCGTCCCGCTCAGAAGTTACTGAACTGGGAGGGGAAGACCTTGGAAAGGGGAACCCGTCCTCTCCAAGGACTTTGTTTGATGCTAGTGTAAAGCAGCCGGGGGGGATTTGAGGCTCCGCTCGTGCCTCCTTGCCAGAGGGAGATCCCTGACCCCGTGCCCAGGATTTTTGGAGCCCAGTGCTGGGCATGGAGGGGGGCAGCGTGTGGCTGTGGGGGGACTGATGTTCCTTTGCCAGATAAAGCTGAGTTAGCACCGCGAGTGCAAATGGAAAGTATGTGGTTTTTTTTTTTTTTTCTCCACAGCCGGCTGTCCATCACATCCCTGGCTTCGAGGTAATGCCTTCCTCCTGTTTGCAGCTCCTAGGCCCTGTACCCCTCAAACCATCCCCTCCCCGGCCCCTACAGAGCTGCTGGGTCCCAGCACCACCAGCTGCTCCTGCAGAGATTTGCAGCGGACTCTGTTTGCAGCCCTGCTTCCGCAGGCAATTTGTCCATCCTGTCCGAGGATGAAGGAACCCCCAATGCAGAGATGCCAATTTCCTTCAGCTGATGGGGGGCAGCTCACTTTTGATCCCTAAAACAGGGCGAACGTACCCTATCCCAGATAAAATTCCTCGGGTCTCCAAACACACCGTTACCTTCCTGCCCTGAGGTAATTTCAGCATTCCCGTCGGGCAGGGCTGTGCCTCCCAACTGCTCCAGCCCGTTTCCTACCCTGCAGCCTGGCTAGGCAAAGGCATTAACTGATGCTGGATTTTAAATGGTTTTAAGTCACCCACACTGGTTTCTTCTCAAGCTTGAGGGTGGCGGTGTTCAGGAACTCGGAAAGCATCCTTTTCCTACTCAGTTACCAGCTACAATTAGAAGCCCTAGGATGGGCTTATGGATGAGAATTGCCCTAACTCTCTACTTCCCTTCTCTTCTCCAGAATGAGCTGTCCTCCAGCCTGGATGAGGTGAGTCTCTAAGATTTAGTTGTCTCCTCATCTTGGAGATTGTAAGAATTGTTCCTCCACGGGGCAGCCACTTTCTTTCTGATGAGTCAAGCCAACAGCATCGGGATTTTAGTAACGTGGGTGATCACCAGCAGGGCAGGGTAGATGGGCTCCGTGCCTAACCCAGGAAGTGTTCCCGCTGGCAGGGCATGGCGGGTAATATTTAACCTTTGTGGGATGTGTGTGCATGAGGTCTGCTGGTGTTCAATGCTTCCAAGCAAAGCATGCAAAAGCTGAAACGCTGGGCTGACCTTTGGCTGGACCTCAGCTGAAATCCCAGTTGAAAAGTTTGAAACTTTTCATGGGGAATTGGCCATGAACTGGGGCATGTGCTGGACCGTTTCCAGTTGCTCTGAAGGAAATACTCTCATCAGGATCCCAAGCTGCTGCTCGGCCATCCTGTCACAGTTGCTACCAAGAGCTTGTGCATCCTCCAGAGCAGATCACAGGGCGAACCCAGCGGCGTCAGGCTGGTGTCTTGGAAAACACAAGGCAGGGAGCTGAACAGCGGGCACGTCTGTAAGAGTGTTGTGGTGGCCCTAGGAGCCAGTTAACCCCAAATGCTGGGAGATGAGCTAGGAGGGACTTGGGGCATGCAGGGACCCTGGCCCCATTTCCATGAGAGACTGGATGAGATAAACACGTTTTTGCAAGATGAGATTCTTCCACCCAAGCAGCCTTTCCTGACGGTGTGGGGCTCATCTTTGTGCGCTGTGTGGGCTGAGACCGATGAGCTCGAGTAAACTTAACCATCTCTCTGCTCTTTCTCCTCCATTTCTTGCCACTGCCGTTTCTGGATGGGGCACTCCACAGCTCTGCACCCCTGCCTTGTTCTACGAGGGGCTCCTCCAATGGGTACCTTTTATGCTCAAACGCTTGACTCTCCTCCGTTCCTCTGTCTTTGCCCAGAAGCCAAGCTAAGTCCCAACAGAGACTCCCAGGGAGACCAGCTCCTTCAGACATGGCCTGGCCTGACCCACCTGCCCTGCAGGAACCCCATCCAGCCCAGCCCACTGAGTCTGCAGCCAAAAAAGTGATGCCAGCCTGAGGTCTCTAGTGCCCTTAGCAGTAAACAACAAGCCTTACGGAGAACCTGGCTCATACATGCCTCATTCAGGCTTGTGATGTATCTGAATGACCAGGCTGGCAGCAGACTTCCTTCTGCTGCATTTCTGCTTGTGAGCAGCCTTTCAGGGCTAGATCCCCTTCAAGCACTGGGATTTAAGCCCCTCTTGAAACAACGTGGCCCAGCTGCACACTCAAAACTGGGAGAGGTTTCCAGCCACTGTTTGGACTGGGCTGATCTGTATTGACTTTCACTCACCTCCCTTCCAACCCGATATCAAAGTCAGGGTTGGACTAGATGATCTCCAGAGCTCCTTTCCACCCTGATTCCCTCTGACCACTCCTTGTTCAAACCATCCCAGCTGCCAGCAGACTCCATGGGTCTTTTCATGGATGCCCTCTCCACCCAGCCTGCTGTGTCTGGGTTGAGAGCTGTGCCTGGGAATTGCTTGTTCCCCACCACCACCCTGAACCCCCCCTGCTCCTGCCTCATCCCCAGGACTCACTGCTCATTTCTGTCCCATCTGGTGAAACATTTAACACTCCTGCATTCAGCTGAGACCCAGGAGAATGACTGCAAAACAACCAGGAGAGCAGCAGGGGCTGTGAAGCACTTAGAAATGGCTGGTGCTGACTGACGACATCGCGGTGCTAGAAGCCAAGCGTACACTGTTGGCTTTCAAAGCTGCTGTTGAACCTGGAGAGGACGGGGGGCAGGCAGGAGCTCTTTCCCCAAGGCTTTCCCCTTTTCCCGTCTGGATTGGAATCCAGAGGACAGCAGGATTGGAACGATCTTTAGTCCAATGACGATAAGGGAAATGCAACACGTGATATTTGCATCAGGGAATATTTAGGTGCACTGTTAGGGAAAAAACCTCCCTTTTAGGGAACAGATTGTTCAGCCTTCTCACAGGGGCTGTGTGGAGTTTGAGCCTGCCTTGGGGTCTGGGGTTGGGCTAGACGACTTCTGCATCTCTCTTATGCGACTTAAATGCAACTTAAGCACATTTAAAACTAGAAATGAACGTATGTCAGTACACAAGGACGGACCGAGGGTCATGGTTCAGTCCATGTTTAGGCACCTTGATGTGCTCTAAATGCTGTGGGTCACGAACAAAAGCTGGGGATAGCTCTTCAAGGGCCAGTTGGTCTATTCTTCTACCCCAAGGAAGGATCAGCTCATGTTGATGGTGCAGTGTCTGAGCAGCCTGAAATTAAATCTCTGAGTAAGTAGGAGATGGTTCAGTGGGCATGGTGGTGTTGGGTTGATGGTTGGACTTGATGATCTTAGAGGTCTTTTCCAACCTTAATGATCTATGGTTCTATTCAAGGTGGGTGACCAGAAGTGCTGAACACCCAAGCGATGCTGGGATGCTCGGCACCTCTCCCTTCTCCTTAGGAGCTCACCTCCCAGATAACCTTCCCTTTCCCTGCTAGTGACCGTTTCTGTGAGTGTGTGGACTGTGGGAGGGAGGACTGCCTGCCCCAGACTGACCGTCTGCCCTGTGCGGGGGCCCAGACATCTGCCCCGAAATGGAGTTACCAAAAGTCTTCAGCTAACAAGCAGCTTGACTCAGCAGCCACCGGCAATTGCCAATGAAAATTAGAGCTTAGCGTCTGGTATATCTAACATGCCACCGTGAAAAATCCCCTTGTAGAGCATTTATATACATACGTATGTAAACCTGAACCAATCCTATAATTGAAATACATATACACACTTAATTTAATGCAATAATACTTCAGCCTGAAAAGAATGCCAGTCTCCTAAATTGGTTCCAATTGCCCTGGGTTGAGGGTTGCATTTTTAGAGGTTTTTTGCTTTCATTCCTGCCTTTTCAGTGACTCTGAACTCGAAGATGCAGGTCAAGAAGAACCAGAACGCTGGGAGGGCTCAGAGCCCGTCCTCTGCAAGTGGCTAGGGAAACCTGCCTCCCTGCTTTCCTCCTCTGTGAAGGACAATTCTGAATCCCTTACCTGCCGTCCAGCTTTGGTCTCAGCTTGAAGGAAATCTTCTGTATGTGCTGTGCACAGACAGCTTTATCCGAGCCCTGTCCTGTGGCCGACAGCTTGGCAGCTGCCGGTTACGGTTTATAGCCGAGCTGTTGCATGAACAGCAGCCCCTTCCTGCACCCGGAGGCAACGCCGACCTTCCGTCCCACGGTGCTGCCCCCACTAAATTGCTGTTTTTCGAGAGTTGTTCACAGCATCTCACTCTGTCCAACTCAAGGAGCTGTATTTCGCTAACTAACCCCCTGCTGCTGCTTCGTCCCCTCTCCTCATCCCTCTGACTAACTGCCTCACTGTGGTCCTCGCGTGGGATAGGTGTGGTTTCATCCCCTCCTTCCCTAAAGGAGGCTGAACCTCGATGGAGGGCAGATCCCTCTTAGTTCCCTTGGAAAGGCTCAGGGATCGCTCTCAGCAGTAGGTGTTTGATCTTTTCCAGGGTCAGATTAAAGGGGGAGAAGCAGCTTGCAACCACATTCAGCCCCTCAGCCCCCATCTCCCCCTGTCCAACTGTCCTGGACTTCTGGGGGGGAGATGAGTTTTGCAGAGAAAAGGAGGCTCTGAGGGGGTGCAGCATGGGAAGGGGGTGGCGATGGGGTTGGTATCCCTTCATGGCATGACCTGATGTGCCCTTGGCGTCTCTGCTCCCTGCAGTCTGCGGACTCTGACCTGCCGTACCCCCCGCCCCAGCGGGAGCCCAACATTTACATGGTTCCCCAAGGCATCAAACCGGTCCTGCAGCGCACGGCCATCGAGGTGAGTGATGGGGAGTGCCCCCTCGCAGGATAACACCCCGAATGTGTGTCCCTAATGGGGGGGATGAGACCCAAAAATGGGATCCAAGCCAGACTCTGTGGATACAGAGCCCTACCAGTGCTGGGAGCTAGTTCTGCTCATGGGTTATCCATCAAAAAACGCTTTCTTGCTGGGAAAACGAGTCAAGCTCCAGGGCAGAGCACAGCCCTGGACCACACTTGCTTTGTAGAAGGACAGTCTGCCTCGCACCAGGATGGTATTTGCCCAAAACAGAGATGCCCCATTAATAGATAAGCAGTTGTGGACTTGGTTACTGGTGCATACAGAGAAACATTTGCTGTATGACCTGGCTTCTCCTAGCACTGGCTGTCCTACATGGTTGATTCATCTCTTCCTCATGGTGGGCCGAGAAGCCCAATGAGAGACCCAGAGGCAGACCTGTGGCTCAGCCTTTGCTGTCTGTTCCCCTCACCCTTCAGATCCTGGCCTGGGGGCTGAGGAACCTCAAGAGCTACCAGCTAGCCAGTGTCACCTCGCCCAGCCTGCTGGTGGAGTGCGGGGGCCAGCTCGTGCAGTCCTGCGTCATCAAGAACGTCAAGAAGAACCCCAACTTTGACGTCTGCGTGCTCTTCATGGAAGTGGTGAGAACCAGGTCCCCACCCTGCAGTGATGGGGTCATAGCAGAGCTGGTTGCGAAGGACCTCTGGAGGTCCCATAAAAAACGCGTCCTGTGGTCAAGCTAATTCTGTCCCGCCCAGCCTCAGTTCCTGCCCTGCAGTGTTACGTAGTCCCTCCCCTCTCCCCACAGCGTTTACCCAAGGAGAGCCTGTACAGCCCCCCCATCATCGTCAAAATCATCGACAACAGGCCATTCGGCCGAAGGCCTGTGGTGGGGCAGTGCACCATCCGCTCGCTGGAGGACTTCTACTGTGACCCCTACCGAGAGGAGATGGATGGTCCCCAAGAGGCCTCAGGTACGTGCCACCATGAGGACCATGCTGGCTGCGCACCCGTGCCCTTCTCCGGGAGGAGCTGTGCGTTGCTTTTAGCTCACCCCAGCTGTAGGTCTGGTACAAAAAGCCCAGGGGGAGTTTAGCTCTGGGGTTGGTGGGTGGGATGGGCTGTCCCTTTGCCAAGCTGTTCAACCCTCACGAACGTGGGCTTTGGCTGGTGTGAAGACGCCCGGCAAGGCCGAGATCTCACCTGGAGGTTGATCCCAAGGTGGTTTGGCTTTGGGGTCTCTAACAGCTGGATGTCCTGGTCATGCTCGTGCTTGCTCTGATTGCAGATGATGTGAGCCTCACGCCCAGGGATGATGTCCTAATCGACATCGATGACAAAGAGCCTCTTATTCCTGTCCAGGTATGGAAAAAATCAGAGAAGTGGGAAGACATTGGTTTCTTACTTTGTGTGGTACGGGGGAACTCGTGTGGGTGCAGGGCTGTGGTAGCAAGTGATGAAGATGTGAGGCCATGTCTGGCTGTAACCTTCCTTTTGCAGCTTCCACCTCTGTTTTCAGCCCTTCTCCTCCACCATCCCACAACAACAAACAACCACAAGCTCATCCTTCTCTCCTACGTTTAACATGAGGCATCAGATTTTCTTTTCTGGGTGAGAGACAGCAGACTCTCCCCATGCCAGGCTCTCTCCTTCAGCATCTCTTCCTCAAATGTAGGGTTTGGTCTGAGGCTGAAGAAGGTCTGCAGTCATCCCCCTAGGGCGGGATGCTCTCTTGGAAATGACAGTCACTGCCCCAAAGAGCTGACAGCCCTGAGTGGACTTACCCCAGCACTGGAGAGGGTGAACTGGTGCTGGCAGATGGGGCAGTTTGCCCAAGGCCACACGGGAAGCAAAGGTTCCCTGAGGCTCAGTTGTCCTTACCACAACCACACGACCAGGTCTCCTTTCCCCCAGTTTTGCTCTTTGTTTGAAGGGTGCTTTGCTGCTCCCCAACCTGCTCCTTTCAGCAGCTCCAGTTACTCTGCAGAGGGTCACGGCGGGGACTGTGGTTGCAGAATAACCCACGGTGGTGGGAACTGGACATGCTTTAGCAGGGAAGGAGGGATGTGTTGCTGCTTTTGCAGAAAGAGAGCTTTTCTGTGCCGTGAGTTCGATGGGTCTTATCAGTCCCTTGTAGATGGGTCAGGCTGGGCATGCCGCTGGGGTTGCTGTTCCTCCTTCCTGAAGCACGGCTGGAAGGTGTCTGGCCACACTGGTGACACTGGCCCTGCTGGCGCTTCACATTTCTATAGCCCATGGGTGCCTTTGCCAGCAGACGTGTCCTCTTTGAGGCAGAGACCTGCCAGTGCTGACGTGTGCATGTGTGATGCACCAATCTGTAGGTGAGCCTGGTCGCTCAGGAGCAGCTGAAAGTGTTGTCAGAGGCATTTGGTGGAGCTGTTCATGGTCTCCTGTTCCCTTTGGTGTGTTTAACGTGCGCTGGAATTTCCTTCCTCCCTGTTCTAGAAGTTGTGGGTGCTGCATGGTACCTTGGGCTAGAGCAGCCTGAGCTTTCTGTAAGAGATCTGCCTCTCAGGGTTGCCTCTTGCCTTGCCTTTCACTGCCCATAAAAGCAAGATGCCTAACTTGGGTGTCAATGCTTCTGCTCTCTATTCATCTCCTTGGTGGCACCTCAGTGTTTCTGTTCGCGAGGGCTTTACGATCCACTGATCGGCGCCACCAAATCCCCGCGGTCGTGCCCTGAGGTGGGCTCAGACCACGGGCCCAGCATCAGGCTGTTCCTGGAGATTCAGAGCTGGAGCTGGAGCTGCACCTCTCCTCTGGCTGCATCCCTCCTGCTGGGTCGTCTGCTCTAGGTTCGTGCCATGCGGGTCCTCCCTGCGGCCGAGCGGGCGTTGCTTGAGCAGGGGTGCACATTACGTGCTGCAACCTCTGCCCAGTTCAAGACTTTCAGGCTTCGGGCTAAGGAAAACCCAAGATTTTGGCCAGTGCTCAGCAAAAGCTGTGGGTGTGGGACTTCAGCCTGTTGCAGCCTTGACTGCAGCTGGCCCTGCTCATGCCTACCTGTCCCAAAAGCTGATGAGATCCAGGTTGCTGCTGTCAGGCAAGGTCACCCTGCGGTCCTTACGGCGAGGCACGCCAAATGAGCTGGCTTTTTGGGTTCCCCACCAGCCGAGGGGGGGGATGCTCATCCGCTGGGCTCCCTGGGATGCTGGCACCTTGTCCTGAGACGCTCCAGTGTCAACAGGAGCTGGACAGTGGAGTTTGAAAACATTGGCCCAAGTGATCGAGTGTCGTTGAAAGGAAAAAGTAACTCCAGACAGAAAAATATTACTGGCAGCCTAACTGGCTTTCCCTTCGCTTGCCATGTGCGGATTTGTCTTAATAATTTACAATTGTGCTTCATCTTGTATCAGTAAAGTAACTGGAGCATGTCTGTAAAAAACACACCAAAACGAGTCCTGGAACAGGAACCTTCACCGCTGCAAATAACCCAAGGATGGGTCTGCTGCTCCCCCGGTGGCAGGCACAGACCCAATTCAAGGGCTGGAAGCGCATGTAAAGGATGGGAAGGTGCTGCCTGGTGGCAGACGCCGGCTGGAGGTTGCTTTGACGGCGGGCTAAGACCCCCAACAGAGGGTTTTTTCTGGCCCCCTCCTGCCCCACAGCCGCAGACGGGACAGCGATGGGTAGACTGGTTTTGCGTCTGCAACTCCAGCAAGCTGTGAAGGCATCATTTCTTTTTTGTAGAAAAATTCACCCAACTTTTGGGTTGGTTTCACTATTTTTTTTTTTTTTTTTTGGAGGGAGGCATATTCTGCAATCTACAGTTTAAACTCTCCCCCTTTCTTTTTTCTTTTCCGGTCAATTTTCAGTAAAAACGGCGTTGTGTAGCAAAATAACAACCTGCAGCACTTCCAACGTGCAGCACTGCTCTCCGAGAGCATCAGAACGACCGCCTCCGCGCCGGCCCTCCGCTGCCTTTTTCTGCTGGCGAAACCATTGGTTAAACGCAACAGATGTTACAAAACGTTCCCTTTCCTCTCCCCTTCCTCCATCAGCCCCGCTTCCCTGATTTTTCTGCACCTTTGCCTTCAGCAGG